TACCACAGCCTCACCATAAATAAGGCCTCCACCATGGCACTCTTAGTTGGAGGTCTCTTAGAAAAAGTTGATGGCTCTTTAAATGGAGGGAGTGAGCACAATCGATGAGGGGGAATCCAAACAACATTATGGGGCTATTGAGACATCTCTTCCCTCCAAGGGATGCAGTCCACACTCAGAGCCCTACGACAGGCCTGTGATGGTGCTTTGTACCTGCAGAGCTCAGAAGCAACATCCAGGCACCAACAAGGCGCCTCTGCCCTCCCTTCTGAGTAGGACAAGAACCTGATGCGTGACTTAAAGTTTCCTTTCTCTTCCTGACAGGGAAATGGATGTTCTGCGGGAAAATAAACCAGAAACAACACTTCCCAACTAAGCATCAGTGTGTAGTGGGGAGTTTCCCACCGGCTTGGATGAGGCAATCAAAGAAAAGGTAGGGCAGAGCTCAGGGCAGAGAGGGATGGTAAGGCTCACGGGTTTTGGTGGTTTACAATAAATGCTTACTACCTGGGACACCCTTCTTGGAGCCTGCTGTGTGTCATGGTCTTGCTTTGGCCTTAAGAAGTCACGGACTAGGAATTCTTGTTCTTTCTTTGCCTCAAGATGCCTCTAGTACAGCGGGTATCTTCAAGACCTCGTATGACCAGATGATGCAGAAGTGGCAGACGGCAGACCTAAGTGATGACAGACAGCAGTTCTATCCCAGGGATTCTGCACAAGTCTGCTTGATGCTTGGGAGGGTGGTGTTCTGTGTTTTCAGGCCTCTCAGTGTCCCAGGACCCTGGGGACTGCATCTCTGCTCCTTTCATCCTATGTATGGTCTCCAAACAAAACACCTGGGACTTAGGGCTAGATGGGCAACACTGTGCTAATGGGAAAAGGGGCCTAAACATTTTCACCTGGAACCGCTGGCGGGATGGCTCCCTTGCAAGACTCTATTTCTCCCATCTAGACACAGATCACCAGGTATGCAACAGACACTTCAGAGGGACATATTTATCTCATGGTCCCCCTTTGCAAGAATAAAACCTTGCTTTTCAGCTACTTTCTATATAATATGTTGTTTCTAAGCAGGGTCCTAATTCTTAATACGTCAGTGTAACAAGAGGAGATACTTCAGGAGTTTATGTATGGATTATGTGAAACTCCCAAGCCTAAGATTTTCAGAGGTGCCTTCTTTACAAAGAAACTACCACATTTTCCTACACTGGAAAATAATTTCATACTATCTTTGTATCCACGCAAACTTCCCTGCTCTGACCAAACTGTTCTCTCACTAACAGCACTAACGAGGCTTTCCATTCAGTGAGGGACCGGCCTGACTTCTGCACAACCCCAAGGGGAAAGCAGCAAAGAACAGGAAAGATGAAGTGGCTCACTTTAGCAGGAAGAGCTCCTCTCCACCCAGCGGCCTGCCGGCCACGCTCGGAGGTACAACAGATGAATGAAACGGTGAAAGGTGCACACTGCGACCAAAACATGTATGTGTACACAAGAGAGAGGAGATGGGGAAGAGGGGAGAGACAGAGAAAAAGAGAAAGACAGAGAGACAGGCTTACCACCATCAGCCAAGCTAGTTAACTTAAGGGGTCTTCCCCACGGTCCTGTTGTAAAGGTTTTTAATTCTCTTTTTCACTCTGGTACCATATTAAGCCTTGTGAGACTCTACAAAAGCCCAGATCGGACAGATTTTATGTTAGAAATAGAACTGCAGATTAAAGGGAAGGGAGACGTGCTGGCTTCAAATACAATTTCCTTGCCACTACCAAGGGACCTAATTCTTCTCACAACCATTGCTGGGTCACTGCAGTGAGCTGGGGGCACTGGCATTGCTTCTGTGGCCATCAGAGCAGTGGACTTGGCCTCCCTTGGGCCACAGGAGGTCAGCCTGGAAGACACACACTGCCTCATAATACAGAGGCACTACCAAGGCCCCCGAGAGGTGCTGAGTCACAGGCACAGGCAAGTACTGAAGAGAGCCCTCTCCTGCCGCACAGCAGGGCATGAGCCCGGAGGAAGCCTGCCTCCCTCCCACACTGCGGAGGAGGCGCAGATCACCACTGAGTGGGACCCGCCTACTACGACCACCCTCAGCTCACCAGAAAACTCTTCTTTCTCCCACTCCTGATATTAACGTTTTACTGAGTCTTTACTACTGTGTTTCCATAAAAACAATTTAGATAGAAAATAATCAGCCTTGAAAACTCAAGATAAAGATGCTACTTACACAGCAGCCACCAAGCAAGAGAACAGAGGTGGCAGGTAAGGCAAGGATAGGCTGACCGAGGCTGACATCTTTGATCTCTAGCTTTCGAGGCTGATTATCTTCTGGCTAGGTCCTATTTTCAGAGAAGAAGCATGTGCGCCAACTAGAATATTAAGTACTGGATATAAATTCTCTAATATAATGCCTACTAAGCTCTTTTCCCATTTTCACCTGTCCAACCACTCCTTTGATTTAGAACTTGTTGTTTCACATTCCAGCAAACTGTCTGCAACTATGCTTCTCCCCTCTTACTTAATACAGCAGTATTAACAGAGCACACTTGTTGTATCAGTCACCTCTGTAGACTAGTGGGGAATAAGGTGAATCAGGTGGCTTCTGGGAAAGCCATTCAAAACTATGGTGAATGTAAGGGTATGTATGAGCGCATACATTCACATCCATGAGACCCATGCAATACATTACACATATATACACATACATAACACACACAAAATTTTTACAGCTGGCTGGATCCAGAGGCCACCTAGATATCCCTTGCCTTCCAGATGCTTAAACCAAGTCCAAAAGAGTTAAGAAACTTACCCATGGATCCACAGCTAGCTGTGACAGCGCTAGACTAGAACCCAGCCTTCCTCATTCTCCTGGCCTGCACTCCTGTGCCTCCAGCCTGTTCCCTAAAACAATGTACGTGCTCAACAAGGCCTCACTCCAGTAACTGAGCCTCCCACAAGCACTGTTAGTCCTCACTCACATAACCTGACTCTATTAGAACCTGGCTTCTCTTTGAGGTCAGTCTACAAATACTCAAAGGTACAGCTGGCAGACAGGCAAGGTCTGTCAAGGAATTCTGTAACACAACTGATTTCTCCTCACCTCTGATTCAGTGATGAACAAAGAAGCCCAGCTAATCCCAAACCAAAGACTTCTATCTGACGGTGAAGTATGTGTAGAACTTATAGTGGTTCTGGTGAAAATGCAAAGTACAGATGGGTTAGAATCTGAATTATTTACTTAAATTGTCAGATCCAGCGCTGTGTGAAAAGGAGCCACCTGTCAAGGCTGTGAAATAGTAAGGAAGTGGGTGAGGAAGGGCAGCCCTCCCAGGAGAGCCTCAGCTCCCCACCAAGAGGCAGCTCGGGGACACACAAGCAGCACTATGGCTATTAAGATGGAATACTCTAAGAATCTACCAGCTCCAGAGTTGTTCTCATGCTCGGAAAAATACTGTGAGAAAGATATCGTCAGCCTTCGTTCTGCCAGTGAATGAGGCGGTCTAAGAGTCTTCTGGTGAGTTTATCACTTGTTCCAATAACAAGTGGCCTGGCACTTGCAAGAATGAAAATCTCCACAGTCTTTAGATTTGTTTCCTCATGATCTTACTTTCTTCTCTAAAAGAAAACAACTGAACTACAGAATGTTGGCACAAGCCCTTCTGAAGGGGATCGGGCTAGGAGAAAGTGAATGGGAGAGATTACACCTCAGCATCATTTTTGAAGCACTCCAGAGTTACTAGCAGAGTTTTAGTAAATAAACATGGATCCTGGAATGGGAACAGTATTGGGTTAATGGCAAAGCACATGAAGAAGCAGAGTAGAAAGGAGACTAGGAAAACACTATCTTCCCAGCATCCTCAGACAATGAGGCCAGACGTCTCCCCCAGGCAACCTCTTCATTGTCACCAGCATTTCGAGCACAAGAAAACATATCACACAATTTCCTTGAGTAATTATTTCCTTAAATAGGTGCCAAAAAAATCTCACTCGTTCTCTGGGGACAATGTACTTTGGGATTTCTGCCACAAATTAAACAGTCTAGATGAGTTTTTAAACAGATCATTTAAGGACAGTAACACACACACACACACAAACACATGCGCGCGCGCACACACACCCTCCAAAACTGAGCAGCAAAAACCAAAGACACATAGTTGAAGGGAGCCCCCAAGGAATATTAGTTTAACTCAAGTATAAACAGATAGAACTCTGCTCTCCATGGTTGTCTGTCCTTTTCACCACGGTCACAGTATTATAGGTATCCAATTAAGATGTCCTGCAGGACTGAGTCTAGGAGCATTTTCATGAAGGGAAGCCAAGTTCTACCACTTCTAACTTATTCCCTGACCCAGAAATGAGGACCACGAAGCCCAACTCTGCTATGCAACCATGCACTGTGGTCTATCACGGCCTCCAGGGGTCCTTGGGTCTCACCAAAGAGATCTTGTCCCAGGGTCCTTTTACATGTGCACATCACCCTCCAGGGCTGAAATCAGGGCTGAGGAAAGAAAGGATAGCCCTTTACTAGGTCACAGCCATCTCTCTCCTCCCCTATCATTTAGCCCCTTTGTGCTTCTTTCTTTCATGAAGATTAGGTTCTTTCTCGAGCTTTCCTTCAGGTTCAATGGTTTTCTTGCTACTAAATCCTAAAGCTTTGACGAAAGACCACCAAAAAAAGGCACATCACATTCAAATATGATCATTAATCACATGTGAAATACTTCAGAGCAAATACCTAGAATTTTAAATAAAACAAACCAAAAACACACATGCAGAAAATACCTTTGGTTGTGTTAAGAAACTTGTTTGAATACTGGAATATTAATAATGGCCACATTTATTCCACACTTGTAAGGCAAAACAAATGCAGGATGCCACAGCAATTAAACAGAGGCCGGGTGACTACCACATGACATTGGTGGCCACCACTCTGTGAGCACTATCAGAGGTCAGCAAGGCTTGGAACCTATTCTTCTGTGTCTTATCTGTAAGAGAAAAGAAAACTGCGCTGGAAAAGAATAAAGTGACGGATGTGAGAAATACATGCTGAACACAGTTCACACAGTGTCACTTTAGCTTCACCAACAGTAGTGTGAAAGGCATAATCAACAAGGGGGGAGCTGGGTTTTAATGCAAGACTTTGCAACACACTGCATTGTTGTTCATTTATTTGTTTACTCATTTCTGCACTCACAAAGTTGTTCATGAACAAATATTTAGAGAGCCCTTTCCTGAGCTCTGTCATAGAGGAGAGGGATACAGGAGTGAACGAAGGAGCAGAGGTAGCCTTTTCCATGGAGAAGCAGCGCTGACAGAGTAGGAGTTTTTGGAAGCCCTGTGAAAATGCTTGAGACCTCAGCACAATTAACTGGCTTCAAAATGAAAAAGCAGCTATAAAATTGAAAGCAGTTGTTATGGTTTATATCTGGATGTCCCCCAAAGATTCATGTAGTCATGGGGATGGGCCTTTTGAAGGCAGCTGAATCTAGCACTGTCTAGCGCTGGGATGGGTGGTGTGAGTGCTGCACCCACGGGGGAGGGGGCGCAGGCATACGATATAGAGGAGGGAAGGAGGCATGGTTTTCCCTTGTACACTTTGTGTCCCTTAGTTCTTGTCGCTTGTGGCTGCCATGAATGGTTGCCCCTTAGCCATGCCAACCTGCCTTGGAGCTAGCTAAGTATGGACTGACACCTCCACAAACTGTAAGCTAAACAAACCTTTCCTTCTTTACTTTGGGTGTTGGGTATTTTGTCTCAGGAATGAGAGAAACATAACCAAGACAGTGGTTAAATGCATATGTAAAGTTCTATCATAACCCTTTTTTTGTTTATCAGTACTTGTGTGAAGTATATGTTGTGGGGAGGTGGTACATGTACTATATTCCTTTTTTCATCCCTTTCCCTTCCCCTACCCTCTCCCCTGTACCCATCTCTTGATCCTCTTGCTTTTTTTTTTTGATCCTCTTGCTTTTTTAATACACGCCTATGATACATATTTGACATACACTTACATATTTATACTGTGGACAAGGCAGTACATGTTTTAATCCACTTGATGTGATATGGAGTGGGCTTCCAAAAGCAGAAGTCCACAAGCACCCTCAAATGTCTCCACCTGACGGACAGAACATCCCTGCTCTGTGGAGCCAATAGTGTAGTGGAGACAGAGAAACACCCACAGCAACAGTGGCCTTGTGACACGTCCAAGAAGGTAGTATCCCTGAGCCTTAACTTTCTAACGAAAATGAACAACAATAACAAACCCCAGGAAAATAGCCGTCCAGGAAGTTTTGAGGACCGAATAAGAAGTAGATGAAGAAATGTTTCACAGGCTGGCAGGGATGAAAAATGAAAGTGTTGGCTGTTTAAATCATGGAGGTTACTGCTGCTCATTCTTTCATGCTGAAACCAATCTTCACAAGAGCCTAACATGAGACTGCTGTGCTGCCTTCCATGGCAGAAAGAGGTCCCTGATGGGCAAACTCACACAAACCAGGTACTTCACACGTTGCTAAAACCTGTCTGCACCACGAGACACCAAACAGACAGGTGTATTCACTAGTCAGCACTACCGCCAGATGCAATACTCAACACCCACAGCTTCGAGGGGGGAAGCCTTAACTGCTCAGCGTCACACTGGCTGGTCCAAAGCAGGAACACTGTGGGGGAGCGATGCTGATGAGCAAAATGCTCAGGGCCTGGCAGCCAGGAAGCAAGGAGAGGACAGTGTGCTGTCGACAGCAGGAGGGACCAGACAGGGACCCCAAGGCCAGGCCTCTGGGACCCACCCAGGACCATGCTTTACTAATCTACTGGGCATTTCTCTCTTTTTAAAATTAAGTTTATTGGTACATTTTAGGTATAAATAATCACACTGATTATAAAGACTTTGTATCTGTATGTGATACAACTTGATTCTTTCTTTTTCCCATCTCTCTCCCCTCCTTTCAGCCCCTCTTCCTTTCCATATTTACAGAAGCTTTGTTTCCATTTTTTCCTACTTTTCTTGTCATTTTTTTCTCCCCCACTCCCAGCTCCCCTTCCCATTCGAAATTTCTTAATGCAAGGAAGTTGATGATGAGCATTAACATTCACAATGTATTTTTTTTTTAATTTGGGATTTTAAAAATACACTTACTTTAGTTAAAAATAAAACTTTTTCAGATAGTACCAATCTAAAGGAGAAACTACCTTTTATTTGTCCTATGAATAAGAAATTGGTGACTATTCATAAATTCAATTTTAATGTCTCTTGTAGACATTTTATGAAAGGCTTTAATCCTCTAAGCTGATAACGGTAGTAGCTAAAAGGAGAAAATAAAGTTTTAAAAAGACACGATTTATAGCACAGCATAGAAATATGCCCTCTGAGCCGATCTGACTGCAGCTTCTGTCCTCTCTCTCTTCCCCACTCTGCCCCACGGCCACCCATTTGGGGGACAACCATGAGAGGACAGGGTGGTGATACGGACACATGAAAAGTCAGCCAGGACATAGCTTACAGAATTGAAGAGGGGTGAGTTATAAATTTCTGCAAACAGAAACCGACTGCTTCAAATGTGTTACTCCAGAGCTAGACCTCCTTCTGGGTTCACCATTTCCTTTGTGCCTCACCACAGGATGTGTTAAGATGATACATAGTGTGTTTAAATAAAATGAGAAAACAAAAGCTTAGCATGGCAAAGAATACTACTAAAAATACTTTGAAAAGATTTCAAACATGAAATCATATTTACAAAATAACTTCTTAATGACTTAGGCATAAAGTGATTTAGGAACATATGGATTATATTTCCTTCAAAATACATATGGCTTTAAAAAAATTGGGGGGAGTCTTTGCTTGGCAAAGTGAGCTTGGTTTGAAGAGCAGAGCTCTGAAAAAGAAAGAAATTCTGTCAAATCATACTCCTGCTGGCACCCCCTTTCTGGTGCTTTCTTCACTGTCGATTGGCTACAGCATCTATTACCTAAGAAAGTTGGAAGGCTTCCTTGGAAATGGTTTCGCACTCTTCTCCTATTTAGGCAAAGTATTCAATATGTTTATAATAAAAGACTCTTCCTCACCTCCAATACCTCAAGCATCAGAAACAGAGTTTACTTTTATAAAAAAGATTGTAATATCTCAAGTCCAGAACAAATGGCTACTGCACCTTCCCAACAGCTTCATACACAGGGTTGCTCTGTTGTATATTTTTAAAACTCCATTAGGAACTGATCTGAAGAGTGCAACATTCTTTTTGTAGTCAGAGATACAAATTTTAGACAAAGCTCACAATAAAAAAGGCTCCATTTAACCTGCCAGCCTCTTTCTTCCTGTCACCTCAACTTCATGCTCTCACTAATACTATACTACACACTACTGTAAAATATCTCAGTAGTTTTGGATGTACTCCTTCCAGAAGGTGCCCATAAATATTTCAGTCTGTCTGAGCATACAATTCTGAGAAGTGCTGAACCTGTTCTTTAGATGAGAAAATCTGAGTTTCAGAAAAAGTCCATACCAAAAAACCAGCCATTCTGCAGATACCTAGAGTACTTATCTGCCTTGGCATTTCTTCCTGTTTGTATCGGGTAATTTTTAGTAGCCATGCTCCCTACAATGCCTGCTCCCCACTTAGGAATATTCCATTCTTCCAGGACCAGAACAAAAGCCATGTCTTTCAATGTATAATCCTTGAACATTCAGTCTCCAACTATGATAGTGTTTTTTACATGCCAATGGGACTAAGCTACAGCCCTCAACTATTCAATGAAATACTAATTATGGTGCTGCTATGAAAGTATCTGAGGGATGTGATGAGAGTTCATAATCAGCTGATCTTAAGGCCAATTATTTTAGACAATCTGAGTGGCCTCGTCAAACAATTAAATGGCCTTGGGAGCAGAGTCAAGGTTTCCCTGAAGAATTTCTGACCTCGGACTGCAGCTCAGCCACATTTGGGAATTCTGGCCCATCTATTCTGCCCTTTGAACTTGCACAGTCAGCCCCCCGTAACTGCATAAGCCAGCTCCTTGCATCAACTCAACATGTATCTCCCACTAGCTCTGTTTCCTGGTTGGATCTTGACTAATACATCAGGTAATGGCTCTTTTGCGTTCTTAAGGGTTTACCTAATGTTTATTCCACTTCTACTTTATTGTTGGTACTGTAACTTTGCAGGCAAACTCGGCTCAGATGTTACGAACCACACAACACTGTCTCTTATATCTGACGTTATTTGATGGAAGAATTTTATATGAAGGGCAAGACAGGGGTGTGTCTCACCCTCTCAGGAGCTAAGTAAAGCTAATACAAAATGCTCATGGAGAAATGTAACTAGTAAAGGTTAGTCACCGCTTCTGAGGTAATTTCACTAAGGAGGTACAGTATTACTGTCACCCAAAACAAGTTACTGTTTTTCTTCATTGCACGGGACACTGCTATGCATGTAGAACCCTAAACACTCCTGAGTCCCATCCATGAATGATGATTGATCACCTTTAGCCTCAACGCCTGTCAGTGTGACATCCACAGTCACATCTCCAAAAGCCTCTAGGGGCTGCTGTATTCATCTCTATTCAGGAAATGTTCTTCTGCCATTACAACACGTGTATCAAGCTACAGAGTAAAGCATTATTTCAACAATGACTGCTAAATAAATTGATCAGAAGGATCAAACCCTACCAATACTTTACTTTTGAACTTCTGGCTTCCAAAATTATTAGAAATTTGCTTTTGTTGTTTTAAACCACCCAGTTTGAGATAATTTGTCATGGCATCCCTAGGAATGGATACAGGTAGCAAAGACAGAAACAGGAAGACCAATATTCTGAACCAATATTATGGATCAGAAGAGTAAAAGGCTAGTAAGTTATTACAGATACTTAAAAAAAAACACATGTAGAAAATTATGGGTAGTATAAGAATTATCAACTTTGACATCACTTAATCAGGTTAAATTATACAAATCTATGAATTCAACAAATATTTAAAAGCCCTTCTATGAGTCAGGTACAATGTATTATCAAATCATCAAGTAACATAGAAAAATTTTCATGAAGTATGGAGAGTACTTTTAGAGGGGATGCTGAGCTAAAATACTCGTTAGGAAATATTTATGCAATGCACTCATGGGGATTTAGGGCCACCTCACCACCTCACAAAGGAGAGTATCATCCATCAGTTCATATAGCCACACCCACACCAGCATCTCAGCACTATCTGGTAATCTGTTAGAAAAGCAATTCCTATACCTCACCCAGATCCACTCAACAAGGAAGGTTTGGAGGTGGGACTCCAGCCACAGTTCCCAAAGTTGAGTGGACACGAAGGATCACCTGCAAAACTTCTCAAACCCAGGATTCTGGTTTCACCTTCAGAGTTTCTGGTTCAATAGGTCTGGGCTGAGGGACCCAAATTTACATTTACAATGAACTTTTAGAAGTAGTGCTCTAGTTCTGCACTATACAATGATTCTTTAAATTTGAATGACTTAAAGTATGTAAAACCAGTTCCTCAGTTGTACTAAACACCATTCCATTGCTTGGCCCTTGTGGCTGGTGGCTAGAGTGTCATACAATGGAGAAGTGGAACATGCTCATCACTGTAGAAAGTTCTGGTGGCCAGTGCTGCACTAGCGCTACCAAGGAGGATGCCTAGGGTGCCCCTTCCACAAACAGTCCCTACGTGGCATAGGCCGAACAAAACAGCGATTTCATATTGAAGAGCATTACTTGCACATTTTCTGCTGCTCAGCTGGGCAACAATCTGTAGTTCCAGGATGAGCAGTATCAGGGATTTACTTATTTACTGCTGGTAAATTACTCTCCTAATTAAAGCTCTGAGACTATGGCCAACACTGGCTATCATGTTTCATATCTTTTTTTCTTTAACAGATTTAGAGGTGAAAGAGATTAAGAAACGCAGAGCCTCAAAGTATACAGCACCTGTTTTTAACTATGATAGATCAAGAGACAAAAGCAGAAAGTCCACACTGAATCAATAACAGCCTATTTCCTGAAATGCCTCTTGTCAAGGTTTAAAGCTCAGTTCTACAATGCTAAATCCACTAATCAACACCCAGTAAGATAAGTCTGTATCTTGCTAGTCTATAGGAAGGGGGCATTTGGCACAGCTAACTACTTCCTCCTGGAAAAATGATGCTTGTCTTCTGAAACCCACATCCTCTTCTCAGTTTTCTCACTCTGGTTCACTAATATTTTCTTTTTTCTCTAACAGGTTAATGATTCAGGTATAGATACTCAGCCCTAGATTTCCTTCTCTATCTATACCCACTCCCCTTAGGGCTTTCATACACTCTCATGAATTTAAATACCGTTTATGCCATGCCAATGAATTACAACCGTATGTATCTCTAGACCATATCTCCCGCTTGACCTCATAGCTGGCCCCTTGCACAGGAAACTCTAATAAGCCTCTTACTACATACAACTCCAAACCTGCTCTATCCCTATGTGCCATTAATAGAGACTCCAACTATCTAGGGGCCTTGGCCAAAACCTTAGGCATTTTCTACTTTCCTTTTTCTTACAACCACACTTATTCAAAAAAAAAAAAAAATCTTTTGCCCTGCTTATTGAGAAACTGACTCCTTTGCACCTGCTCCAGTGCTGACCACCCGAGTGGGAGCCACAGCTGTCACTTGCCTGACGACAGCAAGGAACTGCTGCTTGGTCTTTGTGCTTCTGCCTTTGCAGCCTGTAGCCCTTCTTAGGGATGCTGTAACAAGTTATCACCAACCAGGTGGTTTAAAACAACTGCAACTAATTTCTAACATTTTTGGAAGCCAGAAGTTCAAAGTCAAGGTGTTGGCAGGGCTGGATTCTTCTGATGACTCAAGAAGAAACCATTTCAGGCCACTCTCTTGCTTCGGTGGCTCCTGGCACGTTCAGTGTTCCTTGGCTTATGACCATGCTCCCGATAGGTGTGTCTTCTCTTCTATCTCTTATCAGGATACCTGGATTAAGGACCAACTCTAATCCTAAATGATCTCACTTTCAGATCCTTGATTACATCAGCAAAGAGTTTTGCTCCAAATAAAGCCACCTTGTCAGATTCTAGGTAGGCCTATCTTCTGAGAACAGTTTTCAACCCACCATGCGCCCCACAGATCATTTCACACATCAGCCAGTGATACCTCTAAAGGTTCTGTTAGATTATGCTACACCTCTGCTCAAAACCCTGTACGAGCTCTCATCTCACTTAGAAAAATCAATGTCCTCAGATCAGACTAAGACTATGTGACCTGGTTTTGTACCTTGCCGTAACCTCATCTCCTGTCTTCTAGTTATACATAACAAAGTGGTTTTTTATGTAGGCTCATTTGACTAGAGGAGGTGGAAAGAACGGGAAGGAAGGACTGGAGACATACTCTAAAGAAACATCAAGATGACTTGGTTTTATACCCAGGAGACAACAATCGATGAGGAAGGGAAGAGTTGGGGAGCTGGAAAAGAATTACAAATTCAGTTTCACACAGACTGCAATTGAGATGTCCTTGAGTAGGTTTATGTATAATTTTAGAAGCCAAAAAGAGATCTGGGCTGAGGAGATAAATGTGGAAGTTGCTGGCATATAAATAGTATCAAAAGCCTTGGGAGAATAAGTGAGGACCTAGAATTCTGTTATTAGAAGAGCTGGTATTCACAGGTAGAGGGCAGCAAGCCTGCAAAAAGAGAACGAGGAAAGAGGAGGGCAAAGCAACAGCAGGAAAGCCAGGGGAAAGCACGGCACTGGGAACAGAGGGAGGAAAGGCAGGTCACGGGAGGGAGTAGGTCGCCAGGGCTGTGTCAGTCTGGGGAAGCATAGTGACCACAGGCCACAGGGACACTGAGGCCATAGCAGGACTTAGCCAGAATGGGTGGAGCAGAGTACCAGGGTCAGCAACAGCACTGGCACAGTGGATGCAAGATTCAAAGGTGAAGAAGGAACGACATGAAGACAGCTCTTTGATGAAAGACGATTGCAAATAGGAAAGCACTGATAACTGATAAGCTGTGGATAACTGGGGTCGCTCTCCCTCAAGACATAAAGTAGCAGTGGGTAATCAATAATAAAGTATTTTTCTAGTAAGGTAGGACTGGAATAAGATTAGTTTTTGGTAAGGGGCAGCAAACCTCCCTGCTCAAGCGCTGGTAAGGAACACTTAAATACGGAGTAAGTATAGTATGTGTAGGATGTAGTTTTCACTAGGGAAGGCTGAAGTCATTGCCTGCCAGACGCGAGGTCTAGGATGGTCGAGATGTTCACATGTACTTAAAATAGGCTTAGTCTGCTGGTTAAATCATGTTCTCTATTTGGGCTCAACTGCTACATTCAGGGTCCAAGAAACCCGGTATCTGAGCTCACTCAATTGAGATAAAAGATGCATCAATATCTATTTATTTATCTCTGTCCTTCTGCATACCTACAGATAACTAAAACAACGGACTAGAAATTTAAGTAGGAAAGGAAGGAAAGCAAGGTGAGAGAAAAAGAACCCCTGGACTGGGAAGGGGGGCAAAGAGCACTTGCAGTTGATTATTTGGAACTTTGGATCACCTAAGAGTAGTTACAACCTCAAAAATGATGGCCAAGAATGAAGGCCCCATGTATCAGACTCCTAAGCACTGCCCTATTTTTTATAAAAGAGGACCAAAGAGCATTTGAGATTGAACAAGTATGATGGAATGGCTACAGTGCAACAGATTCCATTCCCAATCTGGATGCTGTGTCACTTAACTACGTCTAAATATATGTCCCGTACAAGTTTTACCTCACTTACTAAGTTTTAGTCTTAAATTACTCTCTAGCACAGCAGGTGCTCAACCAGGAGTCTCCAGAAAGTGGCTGGCAATGCTCGAGACACTTTTGGCTGACACCAATTGGAGGAAGGGTGTGCTGGCACCTTGTGGGGAGAAGCCAGGGCTGCTGCAATTCATACACCTCTCACAAACCCCACAGGGAATTACCCAGCTCAAAAGCATTTGGAAAGTAACGTTATTTACATCAGAGAGAACATGGCTTGACTTTGAATCAAAGCAACCAACTGTCTTCATATATCTACTAATAATCTAAACAAATGACTTCTTATTTCAAAAAAGGTATCAAAAATGAGTGCACAAAAAGTACTACTACTAGCTATACAGGAACACATATGGCAGACATCAATACCTTTCTTTCCCCTTATTCTTCCCTTGCCTGGTTTTTCCCATTCTCTTGTTTATTCCTGTCTAGAAAGATAACTATTTCTGATTTCACCAGTTCCTGCATACCAGAAAAATAAATTCCAACCACTGATCAATTCTGATAAAATTCCCTTATCAGAAGTAAGCATGAAAGTCTGTGGTGCTTAGTAAAATGGCCTTTTGCCCATATATAGAAGTGATTAAAGACTAGCCTGCAGTTAAATTCTATGCAGAGTAACAATTAACAAATTTATGAATGAGACTTCTTTTCACAGTTCTACTGTCAGGCCTAATGACTTGTATTAATTAGAACTGTCAACACATGAATATGCTTGTTGAAGCTACTTCCTATGGTAAAATATGAGACTTGTAAATATGAAGACACTTGGAAAAATGCAAAGACTCATTTATTAGCATCTCTAAGAAGCACTGAGTGCACAGAGCCCTGGGAATTGATTGTAAATAGATTCCTAGTTAATGAATTCACTGTTTGTTCTTCCTTGCTTAGCATTAGTCTCAGTTCAGCTGTGGGATGAAATACCCAATATATAACTACTTTACAAGGACTGCAGCACAGAAAAGGGAGAATTTTGTAGGTTACTGGAAAACTGGAAAGAGTTTAAGTTGACCAGAAGGGAATTCCCATGTCCTCTCTAGCCCAAAATGGACTGAAAAATCTTTGACAGCTTCTGATGTGATAAAGAAAAGTGGGCTTGGGGATCAAAAAGCAGAGTTTGAACACCGATTTTAACTTGAAGTAACCTGGGGTAAGTGAACAAATTACTTAGCCTTTTGTCCCTCTTCTGAAAAACAGGAATAGCACAGAACTTGTAAAGTGTTGTGGTGAACCTTACACTAGTTAATATGTGCAAATTGTACAAGGTATGTGCCAGCTGTCACTGTTTTCATAATCACTGCTATCTGGGATAGAAGTGAAACAGAGAAGGGAGTTTTTTTAGAGCTCTGCAATAATGCACAGAGTGAAAATGAAAAAGAAAAAAAAAAAAAACCTCTAAAGGTTGGTGAGACCTGTACTCACACCTCAACTCCATCCCTCATTTTATTTCTTCTAAGCCTCAGCTGCCTCCTACTTCATGGGTCCTTGTGAAAAGTAAAGGAAAAAAAGTACACACATGACTGAAGGTGATGGGTACGTTAATTAGCTTGATGGTGGATGGATTTACAAGCATTAAATGTTCTTGCTACACCTCGTACATAAAAGGGGATTGATAAATATTAGTGCTGAAGTATTCATTACCACTATTACCTGTTTTTGAAGAAATCTCCCCAAATGATTGAAATAGAAGCAAAAAGAAAGCATTGGCAGATGACCTACAGCACAGGAAGAGAGAAATCACACGGAGGAGAGAGGTAAGTGAAGGGGCAAGAAGAAATGTGTTGAGTGCCCTCCTTCTGCTGTTAAGACAGGACATCCCAGCTGCCCCAGGAGGAAGGGAAGACTTTCTACCCCCCGAATCTTCAGGAACCCTTTATTTCCTCATGCACCTGTGAAGGAGAGGTAGGACAGAGAGACAGACACACAGAGACTGAGACTGAGACGGAGGCAGAGACAGAGATGGGACAGAGACAGAAGAGACAAAGAGATAGAAAGACTGACATTTGAACTTGGGTCTGACTCTTGCAAGGCCCACACAGTGCAGATGTGAAAGGAAGGTTGCAAAAGGTTTCCTCACAGACTCTAGGGACACAGATTCAAAGCTCTTCCTGTCTACTTTTTCTCCCATTGACATGTGGCTTAAAACACGGTAATCAAATGCAGAGCTCATTCTGGCTGGCTGCATCTCACCTGGTAACTATCATAAGATAGCATAAAACAATTTTAAATTAAAATCAGTTTAATCAAGTAATTTCAGTTTTAATTCCCTTCAGTAACAACCTGGCAATGGCCTACAAACAATAGAATTATTGTTTTATTTAGACGGTCCTTCCAGAGACTCCTAGTTCTGGCAGTAGGAAGATGGACCCCTCATGAAGGCTGCAGGAGCAGTCAGAAGGTCCCGACAGAGCACCTGCTGAGGTCCCTCCAACTCAGACCTTGGATTCTGAATACAGCAAGCTGTCAGGATTAGGGCTGACTTCAAGCAAAAATCTGCTTCTGTATAATTAACTAGATAGCTCATGAAATGGAAGTTTGATGATCACTAATTCTGTCTTGAAAATCAATACCTTAAAAATCAATCTAGCCAAAATTCAATAGCACTAAATAATCTAATATATAAAAAGAAAATCTAGTGGGAGGATGTTCAGGATCCTTTCAAAACAATGCCTGCTAAACATAAGATAATGGGAAATCCACTGGCATTTCCAAAGACATGTTGGAAATGTTCCAATTAGTATGTATCACTTAAACTCCTTAATATACAGAGTAGCTTGGAAATAAATAATGCTAAAGTGACAGCCTTATAAACATGAGCTATATTATTCATTGGGTATATTGAAATGAAAATCAGAGAGAAAGAGTATTATACACCTATTTGATTGGGTGAAATTAAAAAGACTGACCATGTTGAGTGTTGGGGAGGACCCAAACTCTCATACACTGTTGCAGAGAATGTAAAAATCCCTAACGAGCAATACACTACACAACGTTTCACAGTAAACTAACGTTCTGATTAATGCCCTGACACCTTATGTGACTCCAGGTTCCTGCAAGCCAAATGCACGCTTTCTCCTGATGGGTGACTGGGAAGGCTGTACAAATAGGGATCCTGTCTCTCCCTCCCACTGCTACCAGCAACATCTTGCTGAGGCCCTCAGGGGCAGCGCAGATGCAAGCAGACATCTAAAAGAAGAGCTCGCTGGGCCATGTGATCCTCTTGGGCTCCCCAGGCCGCCTCCGTTCTTGGCCCCCGTCTCCTGCTTCACTCTCAGTCTGGCAACTTCGCCCTGCTTTCTGTTCCCTGGAACAGACCCACAGCACCCGATCTGCATGACAGTGGACAGCAAATGCCTGCCGGTGAACAAGCCTCCCGGTGTTGCACCCACCCGCCAGATATACGTGGACAAGCATGGACATCCTGCCAGATGTATGTGGACACGCATGGACATGTTCTTCCCTTCAGAGCCTGCCTCTTTTACTCATCTTTCACTTCTCAAACATTAAGAAGCACCTCCCCAGAAAGGCCTTTGGTGATCTGATCCCAGTCCCTTCCCTCAACCCATCACTTTTTCTATACCATATTGACTTTTTCTTCACAGCGCTGCCTTCAAACTATAATTAGTTCTGCCCACCTGCATCTGCCTGGCTCTGCGTGTCTCTCTCTGCCTTGTTTCTTGTCTGTTTCTCTACTCTTGGCATGCCCTTCAGACATGGACCCTGCTGCGTTTACTGTCACTGTTCCTCAGCCCAGCATCTGGCAGTGAGTGGGGACTCCAGCAATCGCCGTTACAGGAAAGCAAGCTATGAGCACCCAGAAAGGATGGAAGGTCTATTTATGCTCCCTCCGCCTTCTATTCTAGGGGCCACACTGGAAGAAGATGGCACAAGTTACCTGTCCCTCCCTCACACAAAGGCAAGAGAAGTAGTAAGAGCAACCTTGACATTAAACATAAAACGGCAGACATGCCTTCTCTGAAGTCTTCCAACAACTTTTCGCTTTTATCATTTGTGTCTCAACAATACATTAAATCTTATTTTAAAAGATCTTAAAGGACACATTATGCCATCTGCACTGCAGTTGCTTATCAGATATCTCTCAAAACAAAATGCTTCCTGTAAAAGCCAGATAATCTCTGAGATACCTGGGGGAATATTTAAGGTTAGAATATGTATTACTGCTTCTGGAATAACTAAGTTTATGTTTTTGATTGAATACTATGCTTAAAATAAATTTAGATGATGCCATAGTTTGGATATGGTTATAATGTATCCCAAAGGCTTCAAATATTGGAATTTAATCCCCACTTAAGGTATCAAGAAGGTGGAAACTTAATATGGTGTTTAGGGTGAGAGTCTTTGGGAAGTGATTAGTGTTAAATTCATTGGGGCATCACTCCCACAGTTAAATCCTGGTGGCTTTACAAGAGACAGGAGAGAAGAGACACACACATGTGTACTCCTTGTTTCTTGTCCCGTGTTGCCCTGTGTCACATCAGTATTTGAACAATGAGCCAAAATAACTATTTTTTTTTAATAACTCACCCTCTATGATGAACTGTGTTTTTGGCATCAGAAAATGCACTAATCCTGGTGACAGGGTAGAAACAGCTTTGGGTGGGGAATATTATACTATACATACATCCCAGGACACGCTCAGGAGTGACAGTCAGGCGACTCCTGGTCAATAATGCAGAGTGCCCAGGCAGTCGGGGCAGCTATTTCTAAGGCTTCAGAGTCACAATCCCAGAAATAACTATATTAATGAGAACTCTGCAAGACTCACACAGGGCCAAACATTTGCCACATGGCTTAGATGAATATTTCTGAACAATTTCCAAAAGTGTCAGCTGAGTTCTACTTAAACAGCACAGCTATATCCTCAGGTTATAACCATCTCTCGTGGGTACTCTCAGGAACTGTGACTTTCTTAATCACTAAGACATGAAAAAAATTTTCATTCCTTTTCAATAAGAAACATGTTTTTAAAAACTAAAAGCATCATAAACAATAATCATTAAAATCCATTGCATTATGTTAACATTCTACATAAGGGAAGACTTGTGCCTAAAGACTAGAATATGCAAAAACATGCTATCTTAAATTTTCTCAATTGCATAAATTTTAATAAGAATTGGAATGTAATGTAAGATGGTCTTAAAGGTTTTTCTTCAACTTGGAGATAAATCAGGAAATCATTTTGTTTCTATCCACCCATCTCACCCCATTTACAGTGGGTCCTAACCCAATCTGGAGAAGAAATTTCCCCAGGAGACAACTGGTTTGCCCACAGAGGAGAAACGACTATCTGAAGACCCAGGGAAAAGATGGCCATCTACAAGCCAAGCAGAGAAGCCTCAAGACCAAACTTGTTTGCACCTGGTCTTGGACTTCCAGGCTCTGGGGAAGTAAGAAAACAAATTTCCACTGTTTTATCTACCCAGTCTGTTGTATTTTGTAATTGCAGCTCCAGTAAACTAATTTTTTTTCTGTACTTGCTAGGAATTGAACTTAGAACCTTGCGCTTGCCAGGCAGACACTATGCCACTGAGCTATATCCCCGGCCCCAAACTAATTATTATTTGTGAAATTACCAGTACTGCTATTTCTGATAGTGTAATATAAAAGGAAAAATCATGCATTAATTATATACATTCTGAGCTCTAATTCAGCTCTTCCCCTAATTAACTTATCAGCTTTCCAGTTATGTTTACACCTATGTACACATTCATATTTATGTCACTTACAGCGGTGCCCATGCTATATCTCACCTAAATTCCACCCTCACTACTCCAACACTTAGTAGTGAATATTATAATCCATATTTAATCTTGTTGTTCCCCTACTTTAAACTCACTCATTTACTATGCTTGAGATCAAGTGAGAACCTTGAGACTCAGCATACTGGCCCCTTATAACCTGAGCTTTCTCTCTGTAACCTGATAACCTGCCATTCTGGTTCCTGAGAAGCAGATGGCAGCCTATCATGGTTTAGACTTGAAATGTTCCCTGAAGCTATGTTTTGAGAGCCTGATCCTCAACACAGCAGTGCTCAGAGATGGGACCTTTGGAAGGCAAATGGATCACAAAAGTACTGATCTTTACCAATGAATTAACCCACTGATGGGCACATAGCTTAGTGGGCTACAGGAAAGCAGTAGAAACTTTAGGAGGTAAGGTCTGGCTGGTAGAAATATGCTAGTGGGATGTGTTCTTTAAGGGTGTATTTTGCAGCCCTCCTTCCTCTTATTTATTTATTGCTCCAGGCCATCATGACACGAGCAGTCTCGCTCCACCATGGGCTTCCTGCCACGATGTGCTGCCTCATCATAAGCACAGCATAATGGAGCCAAGCAACCAGGGACTGAAACCTCTGAAAGTACAGGCCAAAATAAACCTTCCTCCATATAAACTCTTTCTCTCAGGTATTTTGTCAGTGATGGACAGCAGGGCAACACACACATAGCCACAACGCATTTCATTCCTCCAACAGACCATCTTCCTCTTAGCCTTAATCCATTTTTCTCTGCTTCCCTCAATTTCTATTTCAGTCTTTCAGGAGCTTCTCATCATATTTAAGTGAAATCAAAATCCACAAAGAAGCCATAGTCTAGAACTCATTAATTCAAATTTAGAATCAATACTTACATACTCAAAACTTAAGAGTTCATACACTCATCCATACAAAAAAGAGTATTTACAACCTAGTTTGTCTATAAATTTTTAAGACAAGGTGATAGATGTTAGATGTCATTATGACATTTGAGAGAAAAGAATGCATGATTCTAAGTTTAAAGTAGATGATATCCAATTTGTACACTTTTCTCTCCTGAAAGTACAATGTTATTTATTTTTTTAAAAAGTAAGTAGTTGTTTGTCTATCCCTGTAACTACAAAGGGCATAAAACGACTTTCTTTCCTTTTCTGTTTTTTAAAGAAAATACGGATCTTGGTATTTTAAAGGACAGTGCTAATTTGGGCTCACTATTTTGCTAGTTAATTGACAGGGAAGAACATCCTAATTGCTCATTAACTATGATGATGTCCCCTTTGTCTAATGTCAAGGTCTGAGAAACACAGGATGCACGGAAACTGTGTAACACTTGCATCTTCAGGGGGACAAAGCATTATTTCGTACATCTAAAAACAGATGTTCTGACTTGGGCTTGTAAAAATTCTACGATAGAGGAAAATTCAGTGGTAAGTTACTTTTTTCCTCGGGCTCATAAGATGAACCACACTGCGGATTAAATATCATTTTCTGGAGCCACAAGGTTTTACACAGTCACTGCTTATAGAAATTATTTTTGGTTAGATTGTAATCTATCCACATGACAAGTGATTTAAAAGGCACTCGGTGGACAGCTTTCACTGGTGCTTTCACTTCCACCCACTCGTCCCTGCTGCATGCAGGACAGTAACAACGTGAACAAGCTGTTGACACAGGCCCTGCTTGGCAGCCACTCACATCCCCTCCTCAGAGTACACAAAGAAACCTAGTTCCACTACACATATATGCCTATGCACAATGGAGTACTACCTGCATGTTACTTGACATATGCAATGTTTATGTGACCTAAAACATTAACATAACAGTTAGTGAATGATTAGGGGAACCAAGGGGTAGCAAATGTGCCACATCCTGATAAAGTTACAGTCTCAAAGTTTGTTAAAGCGGGCTTTCTTGGACCTGCATTATCTAAGTGAAGGCCTTATTTCTCTCCTCACCAAAAAGCATTCTCTGTACAACAGTAAATTACTTGAGGTTTAACATTTCTTTGTCACAGCACAGTGTGCCCAAAGAAGGGCCTCTGAATCCCCAGAGACACAGTTTATTTAAAGATATAATGAAGACAGCAGGTGTTCCATACAGATGTCACGTCTTCCAGAAGACACTTAATAAACACTTTATCTTCCTTAATGTCCACAGGGTAGCTCCATTTTATTTTATTTTAGTATCACACTCAAAAAAGAAAGCAAATGGTTTCCTTTTTGTTTCTACTGCAAATTAAAAACTACTAGGTTTTAGATTCAGAATCTTAAATGCAATGACTCAAAAACCAAAAGTTTTCTAGTGACTTTGCCAAGTGCGTTTCCACACGGTATACTGGACTCCTCCTTCCCTTGGCAATCCAAACCTCTGAGCGCTAACACCCCACATGATCTTTCATTGAGATGAGTCAAACAGATATGAAAAGACCATATTCGGTAACACTGATGAAGTTTTCAAGTCTGTGTATAAGATAAATGAACTGCCTAGTCCTAGGGCTCCTAGACATGCTGCTAATCCAGCTTAAAAGTAAAAATGGAATCTAGTGTGTTGTAAAAAGTTTGAGGAAAAAGAACTCACTGTAATTTCCCACCTTGGGACTACTATAAAGAAAGCTGCAGTGAACATTCTTTGTGTGGACTTATATTTTCATATCTCCTTAGGTAAATAACCTAGGACAGAGAAGGCTGGGTCAGCCCACAGTATAGGATTTCACAAGAAACATCGTAAGTTTTCGGAGTAGCTGTCCCATTTTATACCGCCCCTCCCCGACTCCAGCGTATGAAAGAGTCACAGTTGCCTTATACCTTCACCAGCATTTGGTATTATCAATGTTCCAAATTTTAGTCATTCTAGCACATGGAGTATTTTTAATTTTTGGATCCTCCCACTGAAGAATGATGTTGAGTACTACGAACAAGTAAAATTAACCTGGAATGAGTGAACTCAGAAGAGTGATCAGCCATCATGGGGCTGTGATTCCGCGATTACTGACACATGTAAAAATTCACTGAACTTTACACCTAGGATTTGTGTGTTTTGCTAACACTAATAATGTGAAGGGGAAAGGGAAGGAAAAAAAAAAAAGAAAAAAGTCACTATATAGTAGCAACCAGGGAGAGTCAGCTACTAATAACAGAAGCAATTGGCAACATTAGCCTGGAAGGTTTGAAGTAGAAAAGAGAAAGTAAAGAAGGAACCACGTAAAACAGAAAAGGAGAAAGGACCTGGAGAATCCTAGTCCTGGTGCTCCAGGCTCCATGTGGTCTTATCACTCTGCCTCGCCAAAAGCACCCTGCAGAGACCGCAGACAAATGGATAAGACATAGGTTTCCCTGAATTTTTATGCCTCAACTGGGGTGAGTCTTAAGAGAACAAATTAATATTTTGGTAATGCATAAGTTCAATAACTTTTTTCTATAAATATTCTACATTTTGCAGAAATTTTAAAACTGAAGTTAAGCCAAAATCTTAAAATGCAAGTCACTAGAATCTTATTCCTGAGAAGTAAAAATAATTGGCACTTTGTTAAATACTATCTCAACCTTTTTCATAGTGCATTTATTAAGTCTGACAAAAACAAACGAGTTTCTAAGAACACTGTATCTCGCCTCTCATTTCACACACTGTGAACCTGCTTGTCTTTTTAATGGCTCAGTATTACTCTATATGATGATTTATTTAATTTGTCTCCTATTACTGCATGAGAAGATCATTTGCAATTTTTCAAACCAAATAATAACATTTTCATTTTAATTAGCTTAATATTTACAGTAATCTCAAAATTGTGCAATTTGGGCCCCATAGTACAACAAAAGCAGATGTAAATAACACAGTTGTAACACAAGATCTCTGGCCCTTTAATTAAAATGGGTGGAGATATATAAATACATATAGTGCATGACTCTCACATCTGGATCTCCATAACTATGTACAACAGAAATATAAATAGTTTTGAATTCTTTGGGAACTGCCACGTGATGAAAGACCATTCAGAATGCTATTTGTGATTCTATAATAAATAGAAAGCAACATCTGATTCCTTGGTTTTGCTCTCACTAGAAAGACAACACAGTAACGTGGGTGGGGGGTGCGATGGTGAGGCTGTGTAAAAGAGGCAGAGCCCCTGACAATAAAAATCTCACATGAATGCCTGCTATTACCAAATGACCGGGATAATAAGAGATACAGCTGGGCCAAAAATTATGATGTCTTAAGGTATGCTTCATGCAGGCATATTATTTTTATGAATCATGTCTTTTTATACTACTGAAGACATGTTGAATTGTTTAAATGAATAAGGCCAATATTCTTAATTCAAATGTTCCTAATATATCGGTATTAAAAATACTACTTTAAGGCCTGACATGGTGACCTATACTTCAGTGCTCTGGATAACTCACTTGCTGTTTGAGACCAGCCTGAGCAACACAGCAAGACTCTGTCACAAGACAAACGAAAACCAATAGCATTTTCAAACTCTTACACGTGTACAACTCTGAGTAAAAATAAACAATGCATGGCAGATTACTTATGACAATCTTTGATAAGTATTTTTGGAGGTAACCTATGAGGTACCTTAAAAGTGGGCTTTTTGTATAAAACTTTTTGTGTTTCTTCCTAATAAGAAAGACTCGCTTCACAATTTTTAAAATACTATCACAAATATTTTGCTTAAAAACTCCCCAAACCAATCAAAAATAGTCAAACACAGACAAGCAAGTATTTTCATCTGTTTTCTGTTGCTACAACGGAACATCTGAGGCTGGAGAATTTATAAAGGACAGAGGTTACTGTTCCTCAGAGTTTAGAAACTGGGAAGTCCAAGAGCCTGCTACCAGCGAAGACTGAATGATGCTTCACCCAACGGTGGAAAGCAGAAAGACAAGAGGGCCTAGGCGGAGGATTCCAAACACAAAGGGCAGCCTGTTTTCTAACACTCACCTTGTTGGTGATTAATCAGTTCTCCAAGGGCAGAAACAGACTGCCACTAGAAACATGTTAATCCGCTTAATGATCTAACATCTATAAGAGGCCCCCCACCTTGCAATAATGTCACACTGGGAATCAAACTTCAGTGTGAATTTTGTCGGGGACAAGCCACATGCAATTCACAGTAACAGTGAGGACCAAAGTAAGAGGAATGTCACTGTTTTCTCTGTAAGAATATACTGTGAATTTTATTTTTAAGCAAAGACTTAATGACCACATGCACGTACTACAAAGTTTTCAGTTTTCTATATTCCAGACCACGACAATAACCAATCCAGCTCTAAAAATATAAACATCCTCTTGCTCAGTTCTGTGGGCTGACTATAAAAAGTGTACATTACAAAAAAATCACACTAATCTCTTCTTCATAAACAACTCAGCAACAGCGTAGAGGTGCTTTTTCTGAAGAAGGTGTGCTTTGTATTACGAAGAGTATCTCAAACAGGAAGAGAGGCATCTGGCCTACCTAGCCTTGAATTTCCCACTTAATTTTTCTGTGCCTCTGTTTCTCAGTCTAAAATAATGAAGATAATTAAAAATACTTTTTATTAGGGTTCTATGTGGATATGTGAATTTCCTAGCAGAGTTAACGACCACTTAATGCTCACAGTCTGGAAACAACTTCACTAAAATGTTTTACACATCTCAACTGCGAAGTAATTTTTCTCTGGGCAGCCAGGTTACAGATTACTTTTTTGGCTTCTTTTTGCTGATCTGTATTTCCACAGTGAATATGTATTACTTTCACAACCACATCAATAAATGCTGCCCCAACTTCAGAAGATCATAACAGGTGTGGCCAGGTACCTATCTTCATCTGTCTTAGGCTCTTAGCATGGTGCACCCTGGGACACCTGGAATTCTGGGAATGCCAGAACCAGAGCTCAGCACTGCCTGCTCCCACAGCAAACAGAAGTGGATCTGTGTGCTAATTAGTCTGCACCTCAGTGTCAGCACTTATCTGTTAGAATTCCTTTTCATACTTCATCGCCTATCTTTCTCACCTCCCAGGATGAGGTAGACTTGCCCCTGGCAGCAAGGGAAAGGCCGGGAATCCATCTGCAGTCATGCCCAAGGCTGACGGCTGACATGTAAGTTCAGGGGTCAGAGGAGCCCTAGAACCTGGAAGTCCCATCTAGGGCCTTCAGGGAAGTTCCGACTCTCAGGCTCCTCACGACAGAGTCAGGAAGCCCACCTGCTTCGCATCTGCACTCCCAGGCAGCCACTGTCAAGAGTAAGCAGGGCTCCAGTTAACAGACATGTAGACTGTGAGTGGTATGAAGCCCTGTCTTCTCAGACTGTCTCCTCATGTGTGATATCAACTTGTCACACCTGATGGCCTCCAGCATCACTTTCAGGTTTAGAATAGTACGGTTCTACTTTACTGATTTGTTAGTACATGTTTGTAATGCAATCATCTTGGAGAGTGGTACATCATGGGAGAGTGGGTAATACAACTTGTTTCTTTTTTTTTTACTTCTCTTCCCACCCTATTTCTCCCTTCCGTCCTCCTCTCTAATCCCCCTTTCCCCATTTGGAAAAAAAATTTCGCAGCTGTTCCTCAGACAGAGAACTACTATCCAGAATATATAAAGAGGTCAAAAAAAAAGTTTAGACCACCTAAAATAAAACATCCAGTCAAGAAACGGGCAAGTGAGATGGACAGACCCTTCACAGAAGCATGAATGGCCAACAAATATATGAAAAAATGTTCAGGATTTATAGTCATTAGAGAAACGCAAATTTAAAGTTTTATTTTAAAATGGTGCTGCCTGTCATATTTTCCATTATCTACTTTAAAAATAAGTTAAATATTTTTTTAATTTAAAAAAAATTTAATGAACTGTAATCTTATAAGCCTACAGGGTTCATGTGGATGTTATAATATATGTATCCAAACAAATGCAGCAAAAGATCATGGTAAATGAGTATGTCCCTCCCCAATGCTTACTGAAAGTTACATGTTTAATAATGTGGCTCTTTATGAACACCGGAAAGACTACAGTTTGAACACAAATGCTAAGGTACAGCTTGGAAAAGTGTTCTATATACTTCTGAAGTCTACTTATAATGCTTAAAAAGGCATTAGAAAACTTGCATTGAAGTATAATTTTATTTCTTGAAAACAATCAGTTGTTAAAGTTTATTAAATAGTCTGGGGCCTCCAACTAAAAAAGAAGTACTTTTTTTTAGTACAACTACATAGATAATAGTAAAAACTTATTCAGACCTTTAATGTTTTGGCCAACAAGGATAAAAGTTCCATGGTAATTTTAATGTACAAATATGTATTTTTCCCAAATTAATACATTTTGACAGAAATAACAAGAGTTTTAGAATCAGGCCTATAGTAATGACTGTCTCCAGTTAGACTTAATCTGATGAAACAATGAAAGTACATATCAATAACGTCAGGAATTAAAAACTGCCTAAGTGACTTGAGTATCCAAATCATGGTATTAGTAAACTTCATATTCTATAACTTCTTAAACTGTATGGGATCATAATGGCAACCAAGGTGGTTATCTCACTGGAAGCTTCTAATTTTTTTTTTTCTGAATAGAAATTTTAATTAGCTTGAACCAATGTTTTAATTAATTAAGCTTATTAGTACATTTTAGGTTTACATAATGATCACATTCATTATAGAGAATCTGTATCTGTTCACGATACAACTTGATGCTTTTATATTTCCCATTCCACTATCCTCCCTTCAACCACTTTTCCCACTTCCTTACTTATAAATGGAATCAAAGCTTTTGTAAATATTTTTTCTTAAATCTAATAGTGTACATTGGTTAGCTGAACTGGAGCAGATGACTAAGTCTCCTGCTGGTCGCCGAAAAGAATATTTTTACCTTAATAGAAAGAACCAGGTTTATTTGCTTCTGTAGCCTGAGGCATACCAGCTGACCATGTTGCTGGACACGAGGGCGGAGACGCCACGTCACATACTGCACCAATGATGATCCTGACCAATCTCCAGAGTGTGCTAGGTAACGCTCCTGATGGCACAGACTTGGCAGCCCACAAGGTAGTCTCAGTGTGGAGAAGGGCGTAAGAGGGTAGAATTAATTCATTAGGTTTGTTTGTATTCTGTTAAATGTATTAATTAACACATGAATAATGCCTTTCAATAAATTGTGGTTGTGGGGTTATGTGGTAAAAAAAAAATTACAAATTAATTCACTTATAGTAATTAATGTCTATTTTCCAAATGTGTTTCAATCAATCAATCAATCAATCAACCAATCAATCTCTCTTTCTCATTCTCTCTGGCTGGGCTAAAGTTAATATTTTAAAATATGGAACCCAGCAGGCACTTAAACAGAATTCTGGTCCAGTCTATTATTTCTCTTCCTGTATGATATATTCATACCCTTTGAACAGAATTGAATGACTATGTACAGTTTTTATATTTTTAACATGTATATTTTATGTCTGGACACAGCCTTGACTATCAAATTTTACTCACTGAAATGAGTACTAACTTGTAGCAAGTAAGAATTACTAATCTAAAGCAAGCATTACTCCATACTAAAATTGCTTTTCAACAATCTGGCAGATGGTACTTTTTTATGATGTAGAAAGTTTTCTTAAGAGAAAACACATCACATTACTTAAATAAAAAAAAAAAACCTATGTGGTCACACAGAATTAGCTGTACATCTCTGTCCTAACTAAAATGATCCTGCTAAGCCAAGCAAGGCTGCACTGAAAATTTACATATGTTAAAAACTGTCTATGGCATATGCCTGTACTAGGCCAAGGAAGTCTCATACAATCATGCAACTGAATGAGATACTACCACCTACTGTATGAGGCTATTCATTCCCATGCAGTAATGCACATACAAAATATTACTATGTATAGTTAACATGAATGTATCTTGCAGAAATTTTTCCTGCAAGCCCTAAGATCTATAAGTAAATAATCACCAACATTCCTGACATTCACAATACTTCATCTCTGTCTAACCACACTTTGCCCCCTTCCATACCATAGTTCATTTCCCATAGAATAAAGGCACTGCAATTTTAAACAGTACCCACTTCACTTAAACAAACAATAATAAAGATGTGTCCTGACCAGATTCAGTCACTCACATCTCAAATAAAGTTAGCTGACAGATATACTAGAACTAGGAAATGGCCACCTTTTCTCTTTGCACTACACCACCACAGGTTGAAAAAAACTGAATGTAATTTCTCCCACTTTCTCAAAAATTTTCAAACAATAGAGAAACAAGACAAATCCTAGTTTTATACACCATGCTACTGCCTTAATAGAAACACACAACCTCTGCCTCTTCTTTCCTAACTTACAATACACTTAAGGTTTTCCTACAAACTTAAAATGCTTATAACCAACTGCATTCAAAGATGTCATCAAATGATCTATTAACATCAAAAGCACTAGATATTAGTTTGGGATCTAAATTTCTTCCCCAGTACGGCTTCTCTGATCATTTTACATCTAAAGGCAAAGAGACAAAGCAGCAACGAGTTTGTTCTCGGCCAAGACCTTTGTAGTACACTCCACAAAGGTTACACATATGGCTAAGCAGAAACCCAGAACGAAGAGTGCAGGGCGGGGGTGATGGTGCCGCCTTGCTTTCACAAGACAGGGAAAGTGGATTGTGGCCATTTGTCTTTCACAAGAGCCTGCGAGGAGAAGCACAAGTTATTCCGCATGTCAGTAAAGATTTCCAGCTTTCACCGGTACACATGCTCCGGGCTGGCAGATAGAAGTTGAAAAGGACACAGCTTTGTGCCCAGTGCCAGCTGAACTTGGTGGCAGACTATTCAAGAAGCGGGAAAAGCACAAATTGCACACGGAGGGATACAGGGGTGGGGGAGAGAAAAAAAAAATGCAATGAGCTAATGTTCCTAGTTGGCATCTGCCTTTTGACTCAATTTTCATTGGCTCTTTTCCAAAAATTTTCTATTATTATGGTATCAGCTGCCTCTTGGACTTGTTTATAAAAGCTGAGACTGCCAACAGAACAAGACAAGATTTCTGTTAATAGTGGTAAATGTGTGAGCCCTTGAAATAATGGAGATTTTACTTTTTCTTCCTCAAAGGCTACTTTGGTATTATTATTCCTGGCACGAACTTTAAGACTTGTAACAGTGGCCATGTATTATTAGGAAATATGGTAATAGCAAATTCTGAGTTTAAAAATTGCTGCCTTGATTCTTCAGTTGACCCTTACAATATATTTAACTAAAGAACAGTCTGAAACTAATTGATGCAGAACTGGAATTAATTCTACCAAATGAATTTCTGTTAGTTAGCCCTTTCAAACCTCAGCGCTATTTGTGACTATTACATTAACACACTTCTTAGTCTGAAAGCTAGGAATCAAAGAAAGAACTAAGCATTTATTCAGCCTTTTTAGAAAGAACTATGGCTTCTAGTCCCTGATGAGGGAAAGATCCTCAGAGGAGGAGGAGGGGCAAGGGGGCAAGGGGAAGCAGCAGCAGTGGTTACAGCTAGACAAAACATTGGGGAACAACAGACTCAAACACTAATGACAATAAGCAATGCTCTGGCTTCTACCTGGGACTTAGCAGGCTGGAAAGAACATCCTCCCACCCTTACGATAACCACAAATGCCAGATAATCTGTGAATTAGTAACTCTCCTCGAGCTCACCAAGAGCTGAGCTGGTAGGGAAACCAACTAAACCTGGTTCTAAAATGGTACATGAAGCACCTGCTTATGGAAGGCAGACTCTGGTTTTGAATTTCAGCGAAAGTATTGCAAGATGAGTAAAAGCTGACTACAGGGTTAGTGCCAGAACACAGAGCCCCTGGGGACAGATGCAAGCAAGTCACAAGCACTTTCAGACTCAGCTCAGGACCTCACCTGGCCTTGCGAAAGAGACTTGTGAGAGCCCAGAGAAGTCTTCCACTGTCATCTCAGTGCAGCCACCAAGAAAAGTGCAATAAGCTGCCTAGATCCGTCTCCCCTATGGCTCCTAAGGAACAAAAGCATTGACTACCAGCAAGAAGGAAAGGAACCACTGTTTTCTTTAGGGAACAAGAGAAATAGTAACAAGGCCACAAGGCCAAACATGGACACAGTGACAGCCCAAAATTAAGTGTTAATCGAAACACAGCACTTTGGCTCTGACTACTAAGTTGAAGAAAAAGGCAATGCAATAAGTAACAGAAGTATCCACTGTACAGGTTCCCACAAGGGAAAGAAGCGACCTGAGTCACAGCAGGAAAAGAGGCCCTGAAATAGAAGCTGAACATGCACTGAAAAAAAAAAACGCGCCAAGAAAATCAGTCCCATCCTAAAAACAGGCAACACTGAAAGAATCTGAACACTATCATGAATCCAGAGTAACGATAGTAACAATCTGTGTTTACTAATTTCCACAGGAATTCTGTGTAATTCAAAATATGGTACTCAACAGAATAAGTAGATGGGGGATGTCAATCCTCTCCCAACTGACCTAAAGAACCAAAATGCTAGGAAGACTTTTAGTAGATATCAACAAGTTTCTTCTAAAAGTTATTCTGAAAGGGAAAGGAATTAGATAACCAAAGCAATTTTATAAAGATATAACGTTGAAGGATTCACATTATCCACTTTTAAGACTAAAGCTAAAGAAATTACAGTGTAGCAGTAGTAAAGGGAGAGATTTCTATACACATAAGAATTCATAGGACATCGATATAAATATAGTCAATTATCTGACAAAGATACAGAGCAATTCTGTGGAGAAATGATAATCTCTTCAAAAAATGGTGTTGAAATACTCAGAACTCCAAAGGCAAAAAAACCCCAAAAAACACAGATTCATACCTCACATCTTCTACAAAAAAGTCAACTCAAAATGGAATATAGGCCTAAAGGTAAATTGTAAAACTATGACACTCTTAGGAGAAAAAGGAGACAAAAGCCTTCATGGCTTTGGATTGGGGGGGGGGGGGAATAGATCTTACACAAAAACTAAAAGTATAGTCTATTTAAAAATGGGTAAACTGTACTTCATCCAAATTAAAAGCTTTTGTGTCACAAAGGGTAGTTAATAGAATATAAAGACAAGCCAAGGACTAGGAGAAAATATTGTCAAATCACATATCTGATAAAGGATTTGTGTCTAGAATATATAAAAGAACTTTCAACACTCAATAATAAAAACTCAAGTTTAAAAAGGCAAAATAACAAAACAGACTTCAGCAAAGAAGGAAAAGAAACACTTATCATTAGAGAAAACCAAATTGAAATTGCAACCTGACATCATTATATACCTACTAGAATGGTTACTATGAAAAGAATTAAAAATCCCAAGTTCTGAAGAGGATCTGAGACAGCTGCATCTTGTACACAGTGTTTGCAGGAATGAACAATGGTACAACCACTTGGAAAAGTAGTTCAGCAGTTTCTTACTAAATTAAATATACATTAATCATATGACTCAGAAAATTTACCTAAGTAAAATGAAAGTTTACTTTCATATATACCTGTATGGAGTTTTTAATCACAGTTTTATTCATAAATGCACAAACTTATAAACAATCTGAATATCTTTCAACAGATGAAAGGATTAAAAACAAAACAAAAATGCTAGTATATTCATACAATTGTAAGCAGGAACAAATTATCAATCCACTTAACACTTAACATATGTATCTTGCTAAACGAAAGACGTCTGTGATTAATAAATAAGTTATGATCCCATCTATATACCATTCTGGAAAATACAAAGTTGGAGGGATAAAGAAGTCTAGGGCTTGTCAAAATTTAGGGGCAGGCAGAGGATGACTTATAGGGAGAATGAAAGGAAAAGTTCTGAGACAACTGCATTGTCTTTTGATTTCTGGGAACATGCTACTCTGTATTTTCATCAAAATTCTCATAACTTTATACCAAAAGAGAGCATGTTTTACTCTTAAGAAATTTAAAATGATGTATTATGGCTTGATTTAGACATGCCCCTCCCCCCCACCAAGTCTCATGCGTTCATAGTTGGGGCTTTTCAGAGGTGAGTGGATTTAAGGTGTGTGAATGTGGATCAGGAGT